CTTCCCTCTACGACTCCGGCGCGTCGCCGAGGCATCACCGTTTATACGGAGCGCGTCCAAAACGCCCAGGCAACTACAAATCGTTTTGTTTGTATTTTTTTTCTTCCCGCACTCACTCACTCTCTCTCTCTCTTTTTCTTTCTTTCTTCTTCTTCAATGCGTAAACAGCGACTTACTGACGGTGTCTGTAGTCCAGATCCGTTTTCTTTCCCGGCAGCCTTGTTCCAGACCCTATAATATATACATATATATATTTATATATATATAAAATAAAACCACCAAACCCCGCAATGAAGTCCTCTTGTCAGGGAGGGACCAGCACCGGGTACGGCTTTGAAATCACTGGTCAGCAGAATGTAATCCCCTTTGTAAATTTACAGTGGCGAGGTGAAATGTCCAGCGCAGAGCAGGCACGGTGACAACAGGGGCCCATAATTCACACCCCCTGAAACAGAGTCCTGCAGTGGATCAATGATGAATGGAGGAGCACCCTCTCTCTCTCTCTTCATCTCTCTCTCTCTCTCTTCATCTCTCTCTCTCTCTCTCTCTGCTTTTCTTTCTCTCTCTCTCTCTCTGTCTCTCTCTCTCAAACACGCATTTTGTGGTAAGCTGTTGATGAGTTTGATAATATTAACAAAAGTGGAGTAAAGGGCTAAAATAAAAGCTTCAAGGGGAAAACCAATAACGCATTCATTAACAGGCAACATTTTTTTTTTTTTTGGAAAGTCAATAAACAGCCCTATAAATAATGCACATCTTGTCAAAAGCGTAATAAATGTGACAGATTAGGTTTATTGTCTTTAACGACAGAACACAGATGGACGCTGTTTAAACCAGAGCTTAAACAAACGAAAGCATGTCGAAATAAAGGCACCCTGGATCTGGATCACTGAGATAATGAGCCGTAGGTTTTAGTTACTGATAAATTTGCATGCGCGAATGCTAACAGCCCCCCACCCACCACTCACAGCAGCAAACGACATTAAATGTTCCGCATAAATCTCAACTTTAACAAAGCTGGGAAATTCAAGTCATATTAATGAACAGATTAAAAAAAAACACAATACCTTTATATTTTTTGTAAATTGTAACAAATAAGTACAATTTCCTTTTATTCCCATTCAAATGAGCTAAAATGACAAGACAAAAAAAATAAAAACTCCTCAAACATTGAGGAAAGAAACAAACTTTCATCAAATGTTCCTGTTTTAGCTTAGAATAATGCAGTTCAGATTTAGAGTCCTTGTCAAATGGTGTTTTACTAAAAATCTGAATCTTTTTTTCCAACTTCCAATCTTTTTTTTTCAAAATATCTTTCTCTTTCTTTTATTCAATGTCACATGCTCTAAAGCACTTTGAAATGCCTTGCTGCTGAAATGTGCAGCAAGGCATTTCAGCAGCCTTGCTGCACATTTGATTGATTGATTTGACGTGTCTACATTTTCAAGATTATAAACAAAAGTTATTGATATGCCCTCAGGTTTTCTTATCTGCAGCTAGAAAGCTTAAATTTCGATGTGAACTTTGCAGCCCTGGCCAGCTAGAAATTATGACTTTTTTTTTTTTTAATATGGGAGCGGGCAAATAAGAACAGAAAGTTTCTTTACGGCATGACAAAAATATTAATTTTCAATTGAAGTTGATCCCCCATAGGGTGGTGAGTCATAGAGCACATATATATCAAAAAAAAAACACCAGAATGTATTTTACACTGTTTTAAATATACAGCTAAAAGCTTAACTGAGAAGCAAATAGCTATGGTCTCTGTTAACAGAGGAGGCATATTTATCTCATTTCATTTTATTTTGCTGTTATATTGTCCTAAAGCCTTTCTGATTCCTCAAGACAACATTGGGAGACTTGTTATGAACACAGTCATAAGATTGCTCTAAGGTACAAAGGAAAAAAATACACAGTGTCCTAAGATTAGGAAACTTTTTTTTGCATATACTCTTGAAAAAAAAAAAAAAAAAGACGTTGCATTTCCCTGAACTTTAAAGTTTATTCAATTCTCCTTCCTTATCTTCCTTACTGTGGATTGGGGCAACATACAATTAGGATTGGAGCACTTGATTAATTTCTCTGGCTCCATAAATGGGCAAGTTTAGAGCTTTTTAGCAGAGACTGCAAAAAAACAAAAACAAAAAACAAAAAACAAAAAAAAAAACTGCATGAACTTTGACTTGCTTAAAGAAATGGATGCACTCAGACAGACATGTTTGGATCAATGCAAACAGAGTCAATAAAAGACAGTAGGGACAAAACTATTGCACTTCCCACTTTTGAAGTCCTGCATTTACCAGATGACAGTGCAGAGGAGTGGCTGATGATCATGAGAACAAAGCACACAATGGTTCTTTATGTGATCGTCTGAGAGCTTGGGCAAAGAGGCACACATGGTGTTGGAAGTGGTAAGAAAAAATAAGATTCATTTTTAAACTATTATCAGTTTCTTAGATGCAATCAACGTATTGCAGATTGTACTTACAGAAAGTAGTAATCTACAAAAGTATGCAGATGATTAGTGTAATTTCTAATTAGTACTGATTAAAAATTCCTCTTGTGTAATAATATTTCACCTTAAATTAAATATTCATGCTATTATTTTAGTGTCCTAGATCTGTGTTGTAGTGCTATCAATATTGGATGACAAATTTTATTTGGACCATTTTACAGAAACGCATTACTTTCTTTTCTTTTTTTTTGCATCGTTTTGAACTCTGCCATTCCTTTCACAGTAGTTTCTCATGTCTGAATGTGCAGTTTTAATGTCTGATTCAGCTCCATTTGTATGCTGTACATGGAAAGCCTTAGTAGTAGAAGTTATGTTGAGATTCATGAGAAATTTCATAAATCTTTGAGTATGATGCAATTGGTGGAATCGTCTAAATTGATCGTCTAAATCGTTTAACTGAATAACTGGGCCAAAATGGTTTAAGTATCCTGAGAGAAGTTAGTGTGATTCGGTCCAAAAATACTTTATGAATCCCAAAGTGAAGTTAAATGCTGCTGTAATTGAAACTGTCCGGAAGGGTATTCTGTTGCAATCTGTGTTATAGAGGTTGGGAAGAAGCCTCTGTGTAAATACACTCTTGACTTTTTAAGATTTTATTAACTTTTTTTTTTTTTTTGTCAATAACTTAATTTCTCTCAGCCATTTTTTTTTTGTGCGTGTGTGTGTGTGTGTGTGTGTGTGTGTGTGTGTTCCCATTTTGGGGTCTGAAACTCAGGGTCTGGCGATCGGATGTCTTGCCTATGTCAACAACAGAGTCAATAATGAAATGAAAAACAGAATGTTTTACTCCCTAAAGACAACATGTTTTGTAAATGCATAATGGATAAGCTCTAGAACTGAATTAAAATCATTTCTGAATAGAATGTTTGACATCTTTAATAACACAAGATTGTAAGATCCAGTGAAAACAAACAGGAGGTGCTGCAGTTGAAGAAGCACCTCCTGTTGTCAAATGGGAGGTGCAGTTGTCAAATGGTCAACAATTCTGGTCAGTCGCAATCACTTCAATATGAACAACGTAAAGTGTTCTTGATCTTAATGGAACTGTGTCCCATTCATACTGATAGAACTGATGTAGCGGAATCAGGTTTTTAAGCCTGTCTTGCTTGCAAACACCTCTTCAGCTTTGCTCAAAAATGTTTCCATGTAACTGAGATTCCTGATCCATTGTAACTCTTTCTGTTAAAAGGAAATCCTCCTTTCTGCTGTTGCTACATGAATGCCCAGCTTGACGGATTGCTGTAAAGGCAATGATGCTGCCTTACTAGCTTGATGCAATCAGCTGGGCTTTATGAAAAAAGAGAATCTTTTACAACTATAATAATATACTTTATTTGTACAAACTGATTTCATTCTGAAGTGCCTTCAGATAACATTTGTTGTGAAATGCCATCATATTAATAAACTGAATTGGATTAATTGCCACTCCCAAATATCGACTTTGTTGTTCTTAACACACTTGTCTGCCAAACATGGCGGTCTTTGTCTCAATGTGTATTTGCAAACTGTAATTAGGCTTTTTTTTATGTTCCTTTGGTGTAATGGATTTTTTTTTATTGTTGAGTAGCCTTTCAGCCCATGTCAGCATAAGGGATATGGACAATGACAATCTACTGAAAGCTTCAGCCAACATCTTCACAAGGTCTTTTTTGATTGTTCAGGGGTTGACATGCACACCCTAAAACAGGCTCACGAGATAGTCAAATACTGTGCAGATTAACTCAAAAACAGCAAAATACCCCTTTTATTTAGCAACAGGCTGAACGTTTTAAATCAGTAGCCAGTTATGATATCTTCATGTACATGTTTTTTTTTTTTTTTTACAAAATATACGCTTTGCATACACAAAACTTACACTTTACACACAATATCAACCCCACTTAAGTGCTGTCCAACCCAATAAGATGCCTGGGGTGGCGAGTCACATTGCCCATTCCCCATTACTCAGAATCTGGGAAGCGTCGTCTCCCGTGTACATCTTTTAGTACGTAATGAAATGTTTAAAGTCACAGAACCCGGTTTGTATTGCTTTGGAATGATATTTGTCATAAAGGGTAAACAGCGCTAAACTGCATGAGAGAAAAAAATATATAAGAACGTATTTGATGTTTCTTCTTCTTAGTAAGCAGTATATATGAAAAAAAAATACTTACAATATATACCTATTTAGTTTAGTTTTGATATGTAGCTTTGTTGCCTGGTTGAATGAGGATTTGACGCTCTTACGTCACTTCCGGATGAAGTCGGGCAGTAGTAAAAAAAAAAAAATCTGGTAGCCATGAATTTCAGCTAGCTTGCCACCGACAACTGGTTGGTACACTTGAGTAAGTCCATCCATGTCAAGACACAAGAAGGATTTTCGTAGTCCTACGCTGCTTCTGAGTACATATAGGACCTCTCCATCCCGCCTATCGCCCTGCTGTGAATCGGTATGTAGGTCGCTTTCAGACGGCCAAGCTAACGAGCTAGCAGCAGCAGCCGCCGCTAGCTGGGCAACCTGCTAGCGGTAGTGATGGATGGATTTGGCTGCTAAATACAGAGGTTCCGGTGATTAGTTTGACTTCTGTCGTGTTGGCTTTCTCCTCGCCTGTATATCCTAATATTACGGACCAAATCCAACGCTTTATATCATGTTTAAAGCAGATTTCATTAGCATGCCAGTGAGTCTGTGTTTTTGCTGAGATAGTGCTGTGAGTATTATCCCTGTTTACCCTTGTCAATAGCATCTGATGTCATGCAATTTATTGCCTATTGTTCATAGAGACCAACAATTTGCTGTCTTTGGAGCATTCGTAGAAGTAATCCTTGTTATATCGAGTCCTTAAAATAAACTCACATGTGTGATCTGTGATTTTAAGGGTTTTTAAACGTGTAGTTTACTATAAAATTAGACTGGAATACAAGAAGGTGTAGGTTGTCTGATTGTTTGTTCGTAATTAGTGCACTGTTCAATTTCAACGAAATCATTTTACTTTGACTAGGATCTGGCTGGCTCACCGAAGAGACTGCAAGACATTGGTGCAGAGCTTTTCCAGTTAACTTCAACAAAAAAGGATTTCTAAATACAGGTATGTGGTATGTTGGTAACCTTTTCAAAAGGATAGTATAGAAAAGTAAGTTATTTATCTGGACAAATATATATATATATATGTTATTAATAAGAGGATCATCTGTGTAGGTTGAAAGGTTAAGGTTGTTTTAAAAGTTAAAATTCTTGGGTAACTTATGAGGACACTGAAACCTGAGGACACTGAAACCTGAGGACACTGAAATGTGTAAAATGTTCAGATTTATTATTAAAAACAACATAAAATATTGTTCTCAACATAAAATGCGTCCTGCTTTTATTTTATTTTTTTTAATCTAAAGATTATGGATAAATACTTAAAATTAAGACAAAAATTGGATCTAGCACAGGCTACTTTAGCATATGATTGAGTGGTGGACTGGTTTATTTAGGAAATGTTGACTCTTAGAGCGCGTGTGCTCAAGTTCAGTCATCGAGAGCTATCATTCTGTCGCTTTTCGATGAATCACAGCTCTGACTTGCCTGAAATCCCCCACCAGGATCCATTTAGCTCTGCAGAGATCTGTTAATCAGCAGTTAATTTGACTCAGGTGTGCTGGAGAAGGGATGCATCTAAAAGTTGCTGTATTGATACTGGACTTTGTTACCTCTGCTTTAAAGAGTATTTGATCCGTTAAAAAAAATAAATGAATAAATCCACCCCTTTTCAGAAAAATATAGCAGGAGATTGTCAGACCAAAAATTCAACAGCAAACCCTTGCTATGTTAACTGGGACGACAAAATTGATTGCAAATGATATATAGGTATCCTTAAAGGTACAAAAACCATATAAGTGAATATGGTTGCGTATCTGAGCAAAAGGAGCAAACGCAAAGAATTTTTTTGGGTTTGGATATTTTATTTATCTTGGTGTGCTAATTTCTTGGCAGGCAACGTGTGCCTCTTAAATCACTGCCGCCTACACTCTGGTGTTGGATCAATTCCTCCCTAACTTATTTTTCTTTAGTTCTTTTTTGTGTAGTCTTAAAGCTTAGAACACACATTTTTTTTCTCAATTTACAACACTGGAACATTGATGCCAGTTATATTTTTGCTGCTGCTCTATATTGAGAATGAAAATGTGGCAGATCTACATTGTATTACATTTGCAGGATGGTTCTGCAGAACCTGGTACAAAAAAATGACATTCTAACATTTTAACAATGCTTACTTGTTTTGTTTCAAAACAATTAATGTGACCCAACACCATGTGATTTAGGTGTTACCTTTGTAGAACGTTAGACAATGCGCTATTCTAACATATTGCAACTTCTAAACATCAAATTACTTTTGCGAGATCAAACTTCAGGCTCTTCTCCGGCCTAAACTTTAATATTTCGATTAAAATATCAAATTTTGGTGATTGTTTTCTTCTGAGAAACTTTTGAGGCTCTCTTTTCTTATTATACTGGTGAAAGGAGTAAAGTTTAAAAGAAAAAAAAATCTTTGCCTTTTATTAAAATTGACACAATCTGAAGCAAAGCATTAAGGAATAAAATAGCTTTGAAACACTAAATATAAACACGCTACAAGCCGATCTACCTACAAGTGTATCAAAGCAGACAGTAAGTAAGGTAGCGTTAACATTAAAACAAACTGCTTTGCATGATAAAAACTTTTAGCGGGAGCAAATTGGAAGTGCATTGAAGACTGCAGCTTTGTCCTGTAGAAACTTCTGATCGTTGACAATATTTGATCCTAACAAAAAACGTCAACTCCATTGAAAGGAACACCAATGGTGAGTGAATTAAGGAGGGCACTATTACAATAATAATGTAGGACATGTAATCCAAAATGTTTTCATAAAACTGTAGGGCTCATTAGTTTAAGTATAAACATGGCATTTATTTTATTAAAGTACCAGACAGAGACTTTGTGTTGGCAGATTCCTTCACTAAAAGGCCCAGCATGGTCGTCGTGCCAACGTGTCAAAATCGGCCTTCGTTGTCGCAGCTTCTTGATGAAAATCTCATAATTTTGTTCTCGGCCTCTCACCACCACCGCTATGTTTAGCCCCTTCTTCTTCATGTCAGGTCTTACTGTAGCTAGTTAACGTTTAAGTTGACTCTGACCAGGTCATGAGTAAATATGGGCAGGAATGTGGGTGGAGCGTGCAGGAGCTGTGGGCGACACTCCGATGTCATTTGCTGTGTCATTCATCAACGGAGAACCTCGAGGTTGTGATTTCATTGGACTCGAATAAATCCAGATATTTTATTTTGTCTTTAAGACAAACAAGCGAAAGAGCCAAGTAGTTTAGATTGAAGCCTAAAATGATGCTACATCTCGTCCTCCTCCTGGGCGTTATAATGGCTCACTCAAATGAACCCTAATAGTTAATTTTTTTCTTATAGAAATTCATTACTTGTGTGGCTTTGTAGCCTCTTTCCAGCTACTACTTGTTGTCCGACAGGTTAGGTTGAAGTGACTTTTGTGACTACACAGGTCTGTCGTTAATCGGGAAAACAGAACATAATATTTTGCATCTAGAATTTATTTTATCCTCATTAAACTAAATTTAGTTCATTTGTCTTTTTCCCCATTTGCAGTGATTAATGTGTTCTGTAATTAATTAAGTGTTGCTGAGCAAACATGAGCTAATGAGCATAATAAAACAGTTGTGTGTCACTAAGTGGGAAAAGTGCGAGACTGAGAAGTTGTGAGAGAAGCATTTTGACTTCTAAATGTTGTTTATGTTGTCATTTCTGTCAGGGACCATGTGTTAAATCAATAGAGTCTAATAAAAAGCCTTTCTCCATCTCCCTCTCTCCTCTCTATTGTCCAATATCTTGTGGCATCCTGTGTCCCCGTGGTTATTACTAATATTTCATAGTCGGTGATAAATGTGTCATTGTGGTAGGCTGCTTTTCCAGTGGGTCGGATGACAACATGCCAGATTTCTCTGCAGATGCTTTATTGGAAGCACAAGTGTATCTGTACACACTGGTGCACATACTTGATAGAAAGACCTGCAACGAATAAGATCAGTGAAAATAATTATCGTGAGGTTTTGCTTTTTATCGACTCCTGTGGAGGAGTGTTTTGTCAATCATGTGCAAAAAAACATCAATTCAATTTATTTTGCATATTAAGGAGAGTTTTGTGCTGTTGCAAAAAAAAATGTTCCTTTTAGATTTAAAGTTTTTCCAAAAGGGTTAAGGGATATGTTTATTTACTTTATTATTTATCAGAAACTTTCCTATAATGATGAATCAGAATGCTTACTTCCAGCCAGAGTTTGGATTTTTACAATTGAAGCTCCCCCCTTTGCCCTCGGTTAATACAGGTCATATGAAAATCACAGGATTCCTTCAAATCTTTATAACCCAACGTTTACATTTGAACCTCAGCCTGAAAAGCTCACAACCTTTTGCCGTGTAAAAGCAACCTGATAATTGGTGCAATTTGGAGGTGTGTGTACTTATTCCTCCTTGGAGCTATGCATTATGTGTTTTTTATTTTTATTTTTAACTTTTTTAGTTTTAGTATTGATGCTTTGTTGCCATTGGTTGGTTAGGTGATCCTGGCTAGTAGCCCTTGCCTTAGCACAAGGCTGTTTCATATTTTGATTACCAATCGAAGTACTTACCAATGTCTAGTACGCTGCGACTACCAGTCACCATGGAGGAGTTGTGCATTCTCAGTTCAGTCTGGGAACTCTTATGCTTCATCACACTTAACCTGGATTAGGGATAGGCAACATGGATTTGAAATCTTATCACCCAATTTTGTGGCATTTTTTTTTTAAATAATAAAAATACAATATATATTTAGAACCTATTTCTAGTATTTTATTTGTTTAGGCCACTGTGTAGCTGTGACTACATGTTTCTGCACTCAGAGCCACACAAACCCCCAAAATACTGGAATCCCATTTCAAAATGGCTTTCCAGGAGGCCTGTTGCATGAAGAGAAGTGACTTTCATCACTACACCACACAACAATAATTGCATCAGTAAATATTTTCACATTAATCGATACTCTCATGTAACCAACATTTTAAAAAACCCACCTATTTTGACAGCACTGTCAACTTTTGGGGTTTTCAGACTTTTCTCATGATAAACCCAAATATTTATTACCGTAAGAAATTTTTCATGCCAACAATAAATTACATTTCTAGTGTCCTCAGGACCCTCCAGACCTGGATGGTTTATAATGTTGTGTAGCAGTAGTCTGAATGTGAACAGGGATTTGAGTAAGTCCTGTCTCTAAAGGTGTCAGCAGAGCCGGGCTTTGGACTTCAGAGCAAATCCAAAGTTGTCAATCGTTGTCGCGACATCCACAGTGATCAACCTTAGTTTAGATTGCTCTTCTTCTGCTGTAGTCTCCCTTTTCTGCAGAGCACACTTTTAGAGAAGCTGTTAATCGCATTAATGCATTTGTGAGAGTCCAAAATCCTGTCAAGAATAATAGTGCTGCTCTTTTGTTTGGCTTAGCTGTATATCTTTATACGCCTCTATATCAGACTAAAAAACATCATGACACATGTCATGCTGATTATTGCTTTCTCAGATTATGACTTTGTTGGACTCGGATGATCAGATTATCCAGAGTAATATTTCTTTGGGTACATTTTTAAAAATTAATGTAAAAAGTAATAAAGTGTTGGGAGTCATTTGCTAAATTCTTTTTTTTTTTTGTATTTTTAGGCTTGTCTTGTTCACCTTAAACATCAAAACCACGTTTACAGTGTTGCTATTTTATGCTTCAGATATTTGACACCACACATTCTGAATAACTGATATCTTGCTTCTGTGTTAAATTACTTTTTTCAAGCAACATATTTTGTAAATGTGTTTCTTTTTTTAAGCAAACGACTCTCTTTGCAACTTTATTAGATTTATCAGCTTTTCGATTGCCAACAGGCACTGGCTTTTAAACTCTTGACTCATTGTTAGTCCTAGACTTGTATCTAAAGGTGCAAATTATAAAAGTTATTTACTTATAATTTGGTAATTTGTCAGCTGGATTCTTGATCTGGAGAAAATAAAAATCATAAGCAGTTTTATGAAACTTTGAGCATAACATTGACCCCACATTTCTTTTATTGCACTACTTCTATTTCTTGTAAAATGACCATCTCTCTATAAAATTGCTTCAATATTTTCTATCTCCACTCTCCTTCCGAGATACAGATATACGCAGATGTTTTTCCATCTCTGTCAAGTTAGAATTAATTGGCATTCAGTGGTGAGCTTTTGTTGCACTTTGAGTAAAGCGAGTGGCCATCTTTTTATTGTTGCTTTTTCTTGTGGCTTTTCCTCACAAGAAAAGCTCCAGAACCCAACGAAACACAGTAAAAGGTTCATGTAGATCTATAGCTGGATATAAACCTTTCCTGCTCTTTTCTCTGCTCAGTGTTCTAATCATCTTTTTTTTTCCCTTCACTTATTCTAAATGAACTGATTCAGATTTGTTTTTATTGAATACACAATGGATTGTTTTAAAGACTCAAAACAATGCGTTTAAAAAATATTTTTGCAGCATTTTTTTTTTTTTGTTTGAGTCATCCCACATCGCAAATATTGAGCCGACCTCACAGACAAAATGGAGCATGTTTGCATAGGTAATGCTAAGTCGCATTATTGCTCAGTTAGTTGTGGAGTTCCTCTGGGGTGATTCCTTGGATCCGTTTTATAGAAACTTCTCCATGTAAGGTCATTCACCGCCTGCCATGGAGTTGCATTCATTGCTATGTAGATGAAACTCTATTTTATGTGAACACTAAAGCAACTGCTTATTCAGCTTCTTATGTAAATGTTATACAGTTGTCAAGAAGAAATTTTCGAATATCAGTCAAAAAAAAACAAAACGTGTGAACTAGTTTTAAATAATTTTGTTTTTCATACGTTTTAATATTTTTTACTAATTCGCTGTCTCTCCTCTTCAGATTTGTGCCAGAAGATGAACGGCCTGTCCATACGAGAGCTTTGTTGCCTCTTTTGCTGCCCCCCCTGTCCCAGCCGCATTGCAGCCAAACTGGCTTTTCTCCCTCCAGAGCCCACTTATGCTTTGCTCCCCGACCCAGATCCCGGATCTGGAGCAACAACCGTGTCTGCCGCCAACTCTGGAGCTGCTCCCCCGTCACTCGGAGCGCCGGGACTGCGTTCGCGGCTGGGTAACGCTGGTGGATCAGACAGAGGAGGCGGTGGAGGAGGTGGCGGTGGCAGTGGAGGAGGAGGAGGAGGAGGAGGAGGCGGCAGCAGTGGTGGCGCTGCCACCACCAGCAGCAGCATCGCTGGGCCTGAAGGCAGGTGGAAGTTGCACCTCACAGAAAGGGCCGAGTTCCAGTATTCGCAGAGAGAACTGGATGTGACCGACGTGTTCCTGACCAGATCTAGCCGAGGGAACAGGGTTGGATGCATGTACATACGCTGTGCTCCCAACGCCAGGTGAGACATGAATCACCACTGTGAGACTGTCGACGCTCAGACGTGCGCTTCATAAACCTGTTGGCAAGCCACCAGCGTTGTACAACAAATTTCAGGTTCGAGTTTCCAGTCTTTGTGCTCCACTAACTCCCATCCTTCTCTTCCCTGTCCGTCCCTCAGGTTCACAGTGTTGTTCTCGCATGGCAACGCCGTAGACCTGGGTCAGATGAGCAGCTTCTACATCGGCTTGGGCACCCGCATCAACTGCAACATCTTCTCCTACGACTACTCAGGCTATGGCGTTAGTACCGGCAAGCCATCTGAGAAGAACCTTTACGCAGACATCGATGCTGCGTGGCATGCCCTGCGCTCTCGGTAAGGAGGCAAGATTCATTTTAATTTAGCTGGCTCTTTATTTTATTTTTTTTAACAGTGGCTCATTTTTAAGTTAGACCAGTTACCAGATAGTTGCAGTAACTCTTTATTATAAGATATTTATAGTTTTGTTGTACAGTAGGAGTATGGTTTTGGCTATGTATAATTATGAGTAATTAAGATGCCAATAAAATTAGTAATTTAGATCCAAATGACTGTCAGTGCTCCACACTATTATAAAGAAATTAATAGGCAAAGAGTTTAATATGTTATTGTTACAAATGCCTGCCTGATGAGGCTGAAATATTAAAATACTAAGCCCATCACTGCTGTTATTTGAACAGCAATAAACTACATATATGTATGGAATAATAAATACAGACACTTTCTCTTGTAAAGACGTTATGAGAGAGAAATTTAATTATTTTGTGAAATTTTTTACAATTTCAATACGCTAGTACACAAGTAAAGCTACTAAAAAGTACAAATATAAAAACGGAACCAATAACATGATGCAGTTCAGTATGAATTGTTAGTATTGAGTAACCAAATTTATTTTGTGAGGTCTGTAGATGAAATAAAGGAATGAAACATTGAGATTGGGTTAAGCTCACAGCCTACAATATTTGTACTGGATTTTCCTTAAATCCCATTTGGTGAAACAAGAGGAACATCCGCTGAACTTGAAATTCCAGTTGACTCTATTCTGTGTCATATATTTTGAAACAAAACAAACAAAACAAAACAAAAAAAAAATCAGTCAGGACCGTGGGCAGCTCAGGCTTAAAAAAATAGTAATCAATATTGGCTTGAAAAGCTCAATCTGTGCATTTCTAACTACTGCATTAAACAAAAACGATATTATAAAGCTCTTAGGACCTTATCCTAGTTTCAAAATAACTAAAACTGCGACTCAATAATTCTTTTTATTTTTATTTTAGAAAAGAACTGTGTAAATTTAACATGACATAAAGCCTTAAAGGGCAAATTGCAAAGCGTAATTAAGTATAGTAGGAATTTTCCCTTTAAAATCTCAGTGCAAATCAAGACATTAAAAGGTAATATCACAATTAACTGTCGGGAGGAATAGTTTGTTGCTTTTCTCACTCGTGGAAATTTATTATGTGAAGCACTTTAACACTCATCACGCACTGTGTTGATTATAATATGTTTAAATTGCAAAACTTGGTATTTGTGAAAGTATTTGTCGACCACATTATTAAAAAAAAAAAAAAAGTTTTGTTCAGGTCGTTTTTCTGTTTTGTTCTGTAATTTATTGGCTTGTTTCACAGGTATGGCATCAGCCCTGAAAATATCATCCTGTACGGACAGAGCATTGGCACAGTGCCCACAGTAGACTTGGCATCGAGGTTCGAGTGCGCTGCGGTGGTCCTTCATTCTCCTCTCACCTCCGGCATGAGGGTGGCCTTCCCTGACACAAAGAAAACTTACTGCTTTGATGCGTTCCCCAAGTAAGTTCCTCGCCTCGGGCATAAATATGAAATTTCCCAAAAAAGCAACTCATGAATAAAATTTCAAAACGCAACGCAGTTGCTAAAATCTATATCGAGTCGAGAAGATTCCCTGCAGGCTTAACGGCATCTTTGGCATCCTGTCAAGTAAACTAATTGTTCTAGTCCAGTTAGAAACTTAGTTAAATTATTATTATTTTGGTCAAAACAATCAGTTAAGATTTTTTCTTTTTTTTTTTTTGTCAAGAAAAAAAACAAAAAACAATTTTACATTTTTCAGTAGTGAAGCAAAAAGCATCAGTCAGAAAGTAAAATACTAACATAGACTCGTGTCGTACTGCTCAGCGAAAACGAGGCAGCAGTCTGAGACAACACTCTTTGGTGTTGACGCTTTTACTGAAGGAGGAAGACAAAAAGTTAGCTATTTTTCATTTGTCAGACTGAAATCAACTTTCAGTTTATTCCTTATTCCCCCGTTTCTTTCAAAAATAAGAAAGAAAAGCTAAAGGAAATGGCATGCTTTGTCATATTTTAGGAGTTTAGTAATGACTTTAAATGAAACAATTTTGTTCTATCAGACTCAAAAAAGCAACACGTTTTTTATTCTGTGCGAGTCCTCTTTTAAGAAAAACTTTTAAATGTATATTAATTTTGACATGTGGTGAATGTTGCTAGAGATGAAGTAACGGCCTGAAAGAAAAAAAAAAAACCTGCATCAAGGTTAGAATTGTTTGTTTTTAATTAAATAAATAGACGATAGATTGGCATGTTTTTCCCATTGAGGCTCCAAAACAGTCTTTTGGAAACAAGGTTGTATTTGAGTTAGATAATGAGCGTTGACTGCATCTGTTTAATTATTTTTTACCCCGGCATATATTGTAGGACCATTTCTTGATGATTTTTATGCTTGATACTTTCTGAATACTCAGTTTTTTTTTTGTTTTTTTACTGGAGAAGAATCCACAAAATTCTTACAGACGTAATCCGATGCACTCGAGACGCATTGCATGTGTGACATTACGGCTCTTGCATTAAAACGTGACTGAAATCCATAAATCTCTTCCAGCATCGAGAAGGTTTCCAAGATCCCGTCTCCAGTGCTCATCATTCACGGTACAGAAGACGAGGTGATCGACTTCTCCCACGGCCTCGCCCTGTTCGAGCGCTGTCCCAAGGCCGTGGAGCCCCTGTGGGTGGAGGGGGCCGGCCACAACGACATCGAGCTTTACAGTCAGTACTTGGAGAGGCTACGGCGCTTCATCAACCAGGACCTGGCTGCGCAGCACGCCTGAGAAACAAGCAGCCTCTACGTGTTTGTATCTATGACACTGTGTATGTGGGTGTGTGGAAGCGTGTTTGCGATGAACGCGTGAGTGATTTTTGGTCACATCTGTGTGTCTTTTTGAAGCAGCACACCTGCAGGTTCAACACAAACACGACCGACGTTGTGTTTCCTGTTTTTAAAGGTGACAAAAAAAAAAGAAATTTTTTAAAACGTCATTAGCTTTATACATTTGTACAGTGTTGGTGAAACACTACAGAACTGGTGAAGTCATTTCAGAGCTGCAAGCGTCGTAGGGCGACGTGGAATTGCAGCTTTAAAACACGTCGACTTAATTCAATTGATAAGCGAGAGATTTTTTATTTTATTTTTTTTTTTGTCCACAAAGGCACACAGATGTAATTCTGAAGTGGTGTTGGTGAGTATGCTGTGATTGTGTGTGTGTGTGATTGTGTGTGCGTTCAAACTTCTCTGGATCTGTGTGCACACATTGGTATGCGTGAGTGAATGTGTGTAGAAATGAAGGACATCCTGATGACTTGGAAACCTAGAGTAGTGGAAGGCTAATGAGGACATCAATATTGATGTTTCTTTTTTGTTTTTTAATCATGTGATTTATGTATAATAATGAAGAATACCTCCACAGTTTGACTAGTTCTCTTTTCCAGTGGACAAATACTGATCAAGCATGTATCCCCCCCCGTCTCCACTACTTGTTTATCTTTTTAATGGACATCAATCTGACTGCCAGGGCATTCCCAAGTTTTTCTCCAGCTAACACTAACCTACTTAATGTGTGGTTTGGGGGTGATCTGTCTCCAGTCCTCTTGTTGTAGCCTGAAATCTTTTCACAGCTTGCGTGGCTACAGAGTGTCTCATACTTTCCCTCGTTATTAATTCTCAAAAGGCCAACTTCCATGTCCTAAACTTTCCACTAAGTAGCAGAAACGTGTTTCAGGGGAATAAATTAGATTTCCCATTCCAAAAAAAAAAAAAAAAAAGTTTTAATTTTCTCGGGATTTTTTTTTTTTTTTTTAAGTGCAAGTCTGCTTTGTCATTTTATCGTGTAAACTCAGAGTGGGCGCGCGGAAAGATTTAAAGAGACGTTTGCAGACACTCCAGGAAGTGGCTGCTCCTGAACAAGAAGCGGTAAAGAAAGTAGCACCTCATAAGACCGCAACGAGGTGACGCAGCAGAGAGGTTGCTGTGATTGAAAGGCTATAATGACGTGCGAGTTATTTTAGTGTTCTTGTTTATTGGGTGGAATGGAACAAGATGCAACTTTGTCACTTTTTTCTTAAAAAAAAAAAAAAAAAAACGAACTTGGGGATTTACATTTCTTTTGGATTTTCTTTAATCGACACAAACTTTAAATGCATCCTTACTGATATTTGGATATATGTCTCGTAGTAAGTTGAAGGCAAGCCGCACAAGTTTCAGGAAGCTCTAACATGTTTGTGGCAGAATCCTGCCTGAATATCTGAACACGGATCCAGCTTTTAAAGATGGTCCAGCAGTTTTTCCAGCATATTCCAAAAGCTTGATGTTGGTCAACTTAAAAACCAGTTTCTATTTATATTTGGGATCATCGTTCCTGTTGAAAACCCAATCATGTGTCTATTGGTTTGAGTTGAGTAATTTGGAGGCAGTCCTCCATCTTTTTTTTTTTTTTTATTGTTCCTGTACTGCTGTCAGCAGAATTGACCTCTCAGCATGATGCTGCCTCCACCCTTCGTTGGTTAAATATAGTTTTATGTTTGAAAGCCTCACTGACCTACTTGTATCTTCTCGATTGGGTCATTGTCTCCCTTCACCATAAAACCTTTGGCTTGACTTTGTGGCCAACTGCAGGTTTCAGGTTTTGGAGCAGCTCTTCCTCGCTCCGCTGCCTCTCAGTCCTTGCTGATATTAAACTCGGTTCACTGGACGTTGATACTGGTGTTTCAGCAGCTTCCACACCCCAGTGAATTTCCTTTCATCCACAGCTGACTGCTTGGAGCAGACAAACTAATTAAATTTAAAGTGTTTCAAATATTCAGTCAGAACCGCAGCTACAAAAAGTGTGAAATTTCTAACTTGCTAAGGCATTTGTCCAAAGTGTAAGGACATATTTGAGCACCTGATGTGTTTTGTGATTTGAAAAAGTGAAGTTGCGTTGTATAATCCTTCCACCCTGGGAAAATGGTTCAGATGCATAATTAAGTCTAAAATAAATCAGAAAATCATGCATTATAGTAGTCATGTCAACGTCTGAATGGCACTGTAAATGTTTTAATTTTTGGAGAGAGCCATTGTTTTTTTTTTCCATTTCTTTTTCTAAGCTTTGCTGGAAACTGTCTAGCTGCCTCTTGAGTGAGACGCCTCTTGAGAATTGAAACAAACGTAATTAAATGTTTTGGCCTTCGGTCAGAAGCGAGGCTAAAAAGTTGAGACCTTTGGAGCTTGATGCTTTGATAAAAGTTGACTCCAACAGCTGCCGTCTGCTCCAACAAACCAACACGAATTACATCCGTTTTTATTCCGATGTTGCGCGTAACCTGAATTTTGCCGGTTAGCATTCATCCGTTTCTAGCCGCCACCGCCGCAGCAGCATATTCGCTAGGCGAATTTTAGCTTCGATGTAATTTTTCCTGAGTTGATTGTTTCATAATCATACTTCGTGATGTTGAGACTGATAATGTGATTCAGATGAGGTGCCAGAATGGAATATAGCTTCCTGTACCTTCCTGTTTTTGTTTCCATCTCTGGCCCTAAATGTACAGAAGCTCTTCTTGTGGCTGGCAGCACACTGCAATGTCTGACACAAGCCATACCTGAGCCTCGTCACTGTTGTTGTGGTGCAGGTTCCACCACACGTACGCACACACACACACACACACACACACCTTTGCACATCGACATGCATACACAAACACACACACACACTATATGTATTTACACATTTATATATATATTTATATCTGATCTAGCATGAAAAAGCAGGTCTTAAGTTCAGCACTATTGTATAAAGCATCCAAAGTGTAACAAGGGTATAAAATGTACGTCCGTGTCTTTTCATTATCATTGACTGTGTTCTAAAGGAGAAAAGCATCATGGATACAGGTTTTCCTGGGTGAAGAAGTACCAGCAGGTCCCGTGTGCAGACCTGCTGTAGTACAAGGCGTTTGCCGCACAGGAGATCCATCAATTTCAGCGATTGTGGCCGCATTGTATCAAAGGGAACATTTAACCGGCGCTGACCTGATTGCTCCATTTTGGGAGTGCGCGTGGGTCTCGGGAAGCAGCAGAAGACGTTTTCTGAACCGCCACTCACCTCCTGTCTGCTCGAACAGGGGTATTTCTCTTTTCTTCTTCTTCCGTTCTCATCCTGTGCTTTGCGTATGTGATGTTTGAGCAATGGAAATCTGTTGCATTCTCAAACTCAGAAACTGAGTCGTCAGAAGAATTTGAGAGAGTAAAAAAGTCTGTCTCTCTCGCTCTCTTGAAGTAAAATTTGTCCTCAGTTTTCTACCGGAATGGGGAAACCAGGGAGACCTCACTGGTTTGGAGAATCTGGGTTGGAAACGTACCGTTTATCGATGCACCACTATGGTTGATATATTGTATCCTTTGGCCTTGAATGTTCATTGATTGGGGAGGGTGGGGGGATAAGCAGTAAAAAAACTGTATGCATGTCTGTTGTGTTTTGCAGAGCAAATGATGGGATGGAGCATAATCTTGTGTTAATGTGAGGATAAAGGTGAATTCATGGCGTTGAAACATTAAAACTCCAAAAAAAAAAAGAAAAAAAAAAGGATGTTTATCTGAATTTTTTAATGCTGATACTAACTGATGTAATGTTGATTTTTTTTATTTCTTTTTTTTTTGTGCTAGAGATTGACCGGGTCCGATGTGGGGGAGGGGGGGATGTAGAACCTATTAGTAGACTGTTTATATGGTTACTGTACTTACCTGTTCTTTTCTTTGTATTATAATTTGTAATTTTATGTTGCTTTTTTTGAACTGAAAATATGATGTAATGAAATGAATTCATGGGACTGAATCTTGACCTTTTTATGGACAACAAAATAAAATCACTTACATACAAAAACATGAATTTGGGTGATTTTTTATTATTTACAATCCATAAATTAAAATTTATTGCACAAACTATGCAGTTACAAAGGTAGGCAAATATTTGTGCGTTTAAGACTGCTGCCATGTTGGAAGTAATGAATGAAAATGTTAGGGATTCTTGTAAAAACAGTAAGTTTCAGGTAAAGAAATCAGCTTTAAGTTATGCATTAAATTTATACTGTCAGAGCACATATTTTACACAGATTACAATTGGTGCCAGAAAATTCATTTGTGAAAAACACAATTTGCCAACAGTAAATCAAAACCTAAAATTTGACCCTTTTTATTAATGTTTAAAGAATCTGAAGATGGTTTTGGTTTCTTCGTATTGTTTTTTTGGGGGTAAACGTAAGGTCGCAAAAGAAAAATCGGACGCCATTGCTACCCCGGGTTTAATAAATCTGTAGTGGCTTACTGCCCTCTGGTGGTCAGATGCTGTCATTAACAGGCTGAAGTACATCAACTTGAAAGGTACAATAAAAAACACCACCATCGGGTGTGAGGCTTAAAAATAAAGACCTAGCGAGTTTATATTCCGGCTGAGTTATGAGACTGAGTCTGTTCTTATATTTGCAAAAAAAATAGCTGATCCAAAAAAAACACATCAAAAATCACTGCCAAGGTGCGCTAGTTGTCTCCACATAGTTCTGTTAGCTTCTGGCGCTGGGTTGTTCCTCACATGCAGACTGGAAAGGCATGCACCAGTTTGGGATTCCTACACAGACCTCCAACTTGAGTAAAGCTAATATAGTTTTATAGCATTTACTTTAAAGAAAGAAAGAAAGAAAAAAACACCAAATATAAATGTGAATGTGATCTATTATTTGGTGCAACAAACATAGCCACTAGAATAACAATTCTACAGTTATAATATGCATAACATTATTTTTGATAAATAGATTTAAGCAAAGACCTGTTAAGTTTAGTTACCAATAATCTCAGTGGACTATGCAGTTATAGAAGTTAACTATTAACTGTACCTCACTGATTTTATTACCTTTGGCATCTGCCTGTCGACTGATTTATTGTGAATTTCCCAGCTGCATTTTTGAAAACCACACACCTTAATAAAAGCACCATCTTTTAGCCACAGTACAGCAACAAGTGGGGGAAGGGCAGCACTAAGTTACTCCTGTCAAAACTGTACTGTCAGTTAAATAAAAGGAAACGAACCGCTACATTGTCTGTTGTGAATAATGCACCGTTAAACGCTTTGGGTCTTAATGAAGCCAAGGTCATACTACACACTCAGGTATATTCCGCACATTTCAAGGATTGGGTTGGTAGCAGTACGGGGTTAATTTTAGCAGTTGTATGACAGAAATTTGTGGAGGCAACTTTTAGAAACCCTGATACAGAATCCTATGTATTTCTGGGTAAAGAGAATCCAGTTGTACCTTTAAGATTAGCTGTAGAACATCAACTTTAAACAGGAGTTTACTTTCTGTTGTGAAAAGTATTTGTGTGCAATACTGGAAAAAAGAAATATTATACATGTTCCATTTAAATATACATTATGTACAAAAGTCAGTATGCGTTACTGTCGAGATGTCTTTGTTCCGGGTGTTTATGTTTCCTGGTACCTGGTGGGAAAAACAAGACGAGGACGAAAAGTGAGCTGAAGATAGAGGAGGAGTGAAATTAATATTTAGCCTAATCAAAACACACTTATAAGCAACTTAATAAAAGTTGGTTACATTGTAGCTTTTTAAAATAATGCTAAATTGATTTTATTTAATAAAGTAACATTTTATTGCTAAAATCTGACTTCAAATCTAACTCTGGCAAACGTAGATCTGAATGCTTAAGTTTACAAACAAAGGTGGATGTTCTGAGACAAGATTTACTGTCGAGATTTCAAAAAGTTTTTAATTCCTCCCTGTTGTTTCAGCACAAAAAATACAGACAATACATCCTGGTATGCAATCACTTTTCTCTCCTTCTGACTCCTGGCACGAACAAGTATGGCCACTTCTCCCCTATCTAGCTGCGATCAGCAGTAGCTAATTGTTTGAAAACCGGTTTGAGACGTCTCACTTTTTTCCCACACACACACACGCACACACACTCCTTAACCGACTTCCACCATGCGGGTTTGTTTGCGCGACTTCACTCACTCTGCGTAGTGCGAAAACAGATCGGTCAGGGCTCCTAGAGAGCTCAGCTGCTCCTCCAGAGCGGTGATCCTCAGCCCGATGTAGCCGGACACCAAGAGCAGCAACAACATCCTGCGAGAAAAACAAACAAATAAAAAAAAAAAGGAAGGAAGGAAGGAAGGCATTACATGAATGCAAGCTTCGCGTTCCACAAGTTACAACCCCAAGCTGTGCTTTCACTCTCAGGGTTAAAGGCGTGAGATCATAGAGTGCTGATTTTACCAACAATAAGATATCAGTTACATCCATCTTTGTGGCGCACAAGGAAAAATCACGGCACGTTCAGAAAGTTGACGTGGCAGCACGGGTGTGTATGTTTTAACATTTCCAAACTCAAAAACGTTTGTCAAAAGATTGTTTTCTGCAAGAGTCCGCATTACAGAGCCTCAATCACATCACTGTCCTCTGTGATTAAAGTATCTAAAGTTTGTTCTTACGGAAGAACTGGACTTCTTTAGTTAAAAGGCCAAATGTCTGAGTCCTCCATGACGCACACTCAGTTAGAAATGTGCAGTAGTCAGCAAAAAAAAAAAAAAAAAAAACTTTCGCTGATGGAGGTGGGAAAATATTTATACCCTTTGATCTGACATGTTGTATTTTATTAGGCCTTTAGGTTACAGATCAAAACAAAGCAGTGCAAGACTGAAATAGCAGGAATGGACACATGGTTTTCAATTGTTTTTGTATAAATCTAAGTCTGGCATAAATATCTGTTCTGCCACCGTTAGTCTGGTTGACCTTCAGTACAATTTAGCATCACCTTCAAACTTCACTTAGTTTGAATGACTATTCTCACCAATTGTGTGGTGTTACTTTGTGTCCCACATAAAATCCTACATTGAAGTTTGTGAATGAAATGAGTGTAATTCATTCCACACAATTGGCTGCCGTACTTAAACTATCTGCTGACTGGACAACTTGTGACAGAGTTAGATTTTCAGCCGCTTTATTTACATTCAGCTTAGATAAGGATGTGGGTTTTATTTTGCCTCAGTAAAGCAGCTGAACACGGACCGAACTGAACAGAGCGAGAGCCAGGAGACGGATGGCTTTTCAAACAAACCGAGAAAGTTTGGCTCGGCTTTAGCAGACTTGTGCGGTGTTACTCACAGGACCAGGAAGACATGGAAGACGACTCTTAGACTCAGAACTTCTCTGAAGAACAATAAAAGCGTAACTTTCTCAAGGAACCTCCAGATCCACGACCCGGCTAACAAGAAAAAAAATAAATAAATAAAACATTTAAAAAAAACGAAAGCATCAATAAAAATGTAAACACATCAACAAGTCAGGAGTCGTTACTCGGGTTTTCTCACCTCTGCCATTTTCATTTGTGAAACCGCCTCCCTGCGCGGTCTTGCATGTGCCGTCAGCTGCGGAGGAGACACAAATGCGTCGTTATTCGCTGCGGCGACGTCGACATGCTCTCTACTGCAGTTCAGATCGGCCTCTTTACCTCCACCGTCGAACGGAGAAACGCTGTGGTTGAGATCGTTGTTCTCTAAACTGTCCTCTAAACTGGAGAAGCTGGAGGTCTGTGGGCAAAAAGATTTGCGGAGGCTGAGAGTCGTTTTTTTTTTTTGTTTGCTTCTGGATTCGCGCCGCCTATAAAAGTCTCCTGAGACGCAGACTCACCGGATCATGCTCAAACTCTGCAGAGGACAGGTAAGGGCTGCTGCTTGGGCTGCTCTCCTAATGCAACCGTTAAAAACAAAAACAAAAAAAAAACAAAAAAACTGTTAAAAATCTGAAGTTTGCTTTTGCTCACCAAATGGGAGAACGTTTCATTTACCTGAGGCTGACAGCAGAGGCTTTGGAGGAGTTTGCAACAGGCACTATAGTTCCTCACTGATGCAAACAAATACTGAAAGAGAAGAGAAAGGGTTAAATTTGGGCCAAAGCGTGGCATAGGGTTTGCTCTGCAGAATTAGCATTAATTTCCGTCTTCCCTTCTTCCCCCACTACTGTTTCAATGTTTGATTTTCATAGATTTTTTTTTTTAATTATTATTATTATTAGCTGGAGCCAAAACTGAGGGAGATAACAGAGTCAGGCCATAAATTTCAGTTCCTGGAGGGAACAAGTCTCACCTGATGCATCTCAAGCTCAAACTGCGCAAAACAACTCATAGGTGTTCTGTTAAACATGCTGATTGGCTTTCGTCGCCAATTACAAAAGGCACCGAAGTCCCAGTAATGGCAACTTTATCGGTTTCAAGCGTAATCATATCTGGAATACGTTGCTTCAGCTCCGCAACAACGCCGCCGCCTTTGCTCAGGCGACCCCCGAAGCGATCTGCATGGAATACCAAACACTGTGCCGGTCTAAAAAGCGCCAGTGGAGGAGCCTGACCTTCTCTCCGCCAGATGTTAGCACGGACAGCATAGACAGGGTTGGGTTGTGTTTCTTTATCTCCTTCACACTGGAAATAGCAATCACCACCTGTATTAAAAAAAAAAAAGAGCAGGTCAGTTCTGGACGCTGTGCTACATTTGAGTCATGCACCTAACTGGTGTATTTATCCAGCGAAGGCGAAACACCTTTGGGTAAAATAGAAAAGGTTTTCGTTGTTTGGATTCCCTGAAATATCATCACGCACTGATTTGTTGGAATGATGGAAGTGACGGTTTAAAAGGTTCACAAAATAGCATTCAATACCCTGAAGTAGATCTGTTATGTGTTTTTCTTAGTTTGTTGTTTTAGGAAAGTAGAGGAGGTCTTAGCTGCTCTACCTGTTAGCTTTAGCTTCCAGCTAATCGGGATTTATATCCACTGAAGATGGCGAAAGAGTTACAAATATGATTTGACCGCTTACAAACTTCTTCTGTTTTTCAGCAAATATGAGACAAAGATGAGCTGAGTAAACACATAATGATGCCTGGTTATAAAATGATGATTCTTTAAAAAAAAAAAAAAAACCTGTGAAAAAAGTGAAAAGCTAATTGAGCCCAAAATCTAGTAACTGGTTGTGTCAAATATTTGTGACAACCGACTATCATGCTCACTCTTCTTTTGCCAAGCGTGTCATTCGTTTTAAATTGAAGCATCAATTTGTTTTGATTCCAACTTTAACTAGGCCACTTTAAAACCTTCCTAAAATTGGGGAGGGAAAACTGCTGCATTTTCCCCCCAATTTTATTTATACAACAAATTTTATTTTACACAAAAACTCCAACAGCAGAGCGGGGCATACACAACTTCGCACGTCACAGGCGTCACCTCCACATGATAAAAAGAAGAAAGAAAAAAAATCTGAACTTTTATGTTGGGCTGTCCGACTACAGAAGACGAAAGCGAATTCTGTGGACGAATAAAGCTAAAGTCGGAGACTTCTTTAAAAACCTGAAATGCTCCACTTCCAGTAAAAGAGAACATATTTTCATGCTCATTAAATTAGGATTTTCTTCTCTATAAATCTCATTAGTCAGATTAAACGTACTTTTTGAAAATAACAGCCTATATGAAGGTATTAAACATGCTTTCAGTTAAGTCCATCTGTACTAAAAAGGTTTTTTATTGGTCTGATGTAATATTCTAATCATAAACATTATGTTTTCATTCGCTGCAAGTGGAAAATCATCAAAACCGGCAGAAACATCAGTCTGTGTGTGATTGACCTATATTATTAATGTGTTTCACTCAGTGAACATATCTAACGAAATAAGTGGAATTTTCAATAAGATTTAAATTTACCGACCGAGTTTGTACGTGAAACTTATTTGGCTTTTCGTCACATTTTTGACTTTTCTCTGACGTTCTTGTTACACGTCAAAAATGCACCAAAGCGAATTACCTTGGTCTCTTTCAGGAGCACAGACGAGTAGAAGCACACGTTGTTCTCTGAAACAAAGAGTTTTCCGTGATACAGGACCTCCCTCTGCAAGGAACAGGTAAACGCTGCAACAACAGAAGCGCATAAAAAAAAAAAAAAAAAAGAGGGTCACCGGGGGGAAACATGAGCACATCTGCTGAATCATTTATCCACGCGAGGAGCTTGCGGCTCCGCAGGACATTTTGGCAATCGAGCACATCCGGAGGTCCGGCGATTGGAAAAGTAAGACAGCGGAGATAATTGGAACAAAAGTCAGGACGTGAAGTGGTTTTCCATAATCGATCGCCGTAAATGAGCAACAGACTTTTTGATTGCGAGAACACTCACTGTGCGTCAGCCTCTCCTCCGCTGGGATCTCTGGAAACAGTTTGTGGAAGGTTTTGATGTACTTTATGCAGCTCTGTGGAGGAACACAAACAGCTGTTCAGATGTGTGGATGTTGAGCAGTTTAACCGAGAACCTTTTCCTTTCGACACAAAGTTGGACTCGGATCGGAAGTAACAAATACTCGGCTCGGGAGCAACGGCAACACTAGTGCGATCGCAGCCGATGACAGAGGACGTGCCATCTTTCTGGGAAGAAAGTCCTTTAAACTTGAAAAGTAGCACACATTTGAGATCACTGCCAACACTTGAGGGATTACCATTTTTAGATAATAAAAGCAATTATCTTTTATTGTTTTCACGCAGCGATGAATGCAGCAGCCTGCTGCAGACGGAGAAAATCACATAGGTTAAACTAAAAAGCGGGGGCTTGCCTAAAATACCTAACTTAATCTTAAAATGACATAAATAGGGGATGACACTCCCATTTTTATTCCTACTAGATTAAGCTTAATACAACCCACTGGGCCAATATAGTGCCTTTTTTCCTCCTGTGTCATTCTTATATTTTGACACTGACATCATATATGAAAAATTTGAAATCTACCATTTAAGATCCAAATTAATTATTTGTTTTTCTATGTTTCTTTGTTTTTTTTAAGAAATAGGAACTTTAGAACAATTCAATTTAGTTCAACTTTTGTGAATGACGTGAATATACACACACACACATATTATATATATATATATATATATATATATATATATATATATATATATATATATTATCCAGATAAGGTTTTTGAAACCGTCAGGGAAGTTTATAGACCCAGTCTAATATTTGACATCAGAATGAACAAATAATGATGACTAACATTAGTTCCTTTCTATTAGTTACTGAATAACAAGCCTGTGCGTCACTTGACAGCATCTGATTTAGGTCATTTATTCAATTGATACAGGTGTGTTGGAGCAGGTGTATCTAAAACATGTGGGGCCACGTGCGAGTATCTTTGAGGCTGTTCCTGATTTATTTATTTATTTTTCCCCTTTGGAGATCCTATGGTACTGATGCACATTCCTGGGACGTCATGCCGTGAAAGCAAGTCTTCAAAATGTCCCGCTCCTAAAGCATTTTTCAGAAAATGGAGTTCATCTTGTCTGGAAACTGCTTCACATCGTCTCCTATACCAACCAGCGAGCAGCAAAGTCAGTCTGGGGTCAGTCAGACAGTCACTGTCGACGCTCAATTAATGTCTGAAATTTCCAGATTGGCAAACTTACTGAAGCGTCTGCTTTTTCAGAGCTACTCCCACCTGCAAGCGTCAGTTAGTGCAAAAAAAAAGGGAACTGGAGGGAAAACGATCGTTTGCCACTCAGTGGCGACTACAAGGCTCACCGACAAAATAAATCTGTGCAAAAAAAATAAATAAATAAACAAAAAAACATGACATTTAAAATAGGATGAATGCATGAGCAACCATAAAGAAAGTCAATCAAATTTGCTAAATGCGTTCTGCCTAAAGTTAAACTCGTATACAGGGTCTTTTTGTGATGGCAATAAAATGTGAGAATTTGTTTTGGTTTAAATAACTGGGCCTTTTTCATAAACAGTTCTTGCAGGTATGTTATAATGTCATATATCAATTTAGCATTTATTGTATTTCTTTTTCCTCCCCCTACAATCCAATATATTACTTCAATTTTAATTAAAGTGTCACTATTGTCATTTGAAAATAAATTTATTTTTTAAATTTATAGAATATTATCTGATTATCTCTATGTAGCACCCAATTATGCTCCACCCTGATTACTACAAGATTTTCCTGTTCAGGTTTCAGACTGATGAGAAGTTGTTTTTGTTTTTTTTAACGCCTTAAAATATTATAATATACTTTGTGGTCGTCTGTCAAATAAAATCCCAACAGAAAACGTTGGAAGATAAAGGTTGCATTGAGACGAAACATAAAATAACTGGGCCTGACATGTGATGGAAAATCTTAACATTTCTTGACAACACAAGCTTTCACAGATATCACAAAGTGTAAATCTCAATTCAAGCTACATATCTGGGTCATAACTCTTTATGGCTTTAAAAAGGGGGGATGCTACAAGTTTACATATTTACTTCACGTGCAAAGAAAAAGGGAACAACACACTGAGGCGATAAGGAAAGTATGAATCTGACTTACAGGAGTGATGGTGAGCACATCCGATCTGCTGAGACAATCTCCTGCTGTGGCCTGGTCCCTGAAGTCACAAACAGTTTCGTTTCATTTGGATGGACGGCATCGCCGCACAATCTCAGAATAAGTGTGATGTTTTCTCTCAACTGGAACTTTTCTGGATGTCCGTGTGGTGCTGAATGCGTTGTGCACGGTACCTGTTGCCCATTCTGAAGCTTTGAATTAGCCGCCTGCCCTGCAGCTGCTGCTGCTGCTGCTGTTCGACATTCCCCAAATTCAGGCTCTGGCTCCGGCTGCACTTCTTGACGCTGCCTCTTCTCGTGAGAAGAGGGGAGGGCTCGTCCACAACTCTGGTCCAGGGGGGGGGGGGGGGGAAAACGTCAAAAGGGACGATCCAGCTTTTTTAAATGAGCCTTGCAACGGCTCAGATCGATATATGCGAAACAAGGTAAAGAAATGAAATCGCTGATGGGAACAAGAGTTGGAGGCGCAGCATTTTTAGAGGCGTCAGCGCGGATCAAAGCGGCTCCAGTGTGCTGACAGCAAACATCATTTCATTAAAACCTTCAGCTTCATCGTTCCGTCTCGGACAGAAACAGGAATTCGGCTCGTTTTACACAAACGGCTTGTAAAGCATCAACAAAGAGTCGTGTTCGGCTCTGCAGGAGGCACGGATGAACAGCAAACAGGCACAAGGAGAGTTGTTTCGTTTCTATGAATCCAATGTAATGCGCCTGTCGGGTAACGCCGCTCTTCACAGCAGGTGTTTGAAGTGCCACAGCAGCGAAATTACAGCCCTGAGCAAAACTACTTACACCCTTTGATTTTATTCCCCCTCCCCTTCATATTTCCACAAAGTTCAAATTATTATATTGGGATTTTATGTGACAGACCAACACAAAGGAGGGAATGTGTGTGGACAGGAAGTAATAGCGTACATGCCGTTTGAATAAAAATAATAATAAAAGTAGTGAAATGTGCGACTTGCATTAGTATTCACTCCACTTTACTCTCATGTCCATATATAAAACCTAGTAAACGGAGATTATCCGTTTATAATTTAACTTCAGCTGTTCTGTGATTCCCTCACAGGCTTGTTTCAGCAAATCAGCGAACAACCTGCATTGTGAAGATGTGGAAGTTGTGGAGAATTTAAAGCAAAGTCAGTTTACGAAGCAATATCCCAAGTAAGTTAGAACATTTGCTGCTCATGCCGTTACAAATTCGTGTGTGCCTGCTCATGCTGTTGCAACTGTGGAGGAGCTGCAGAGTTTCACGGCCTAAGGTGAGAATTTCTGTCAGCTCTTAGCCATGTACTCGGTGAAGCTAAGAGCAAATAAAAAAAAAAAATAATAATAATTTCAACCACTTTTTTGGCCTATAAGCAAATGTCAAATGAAGACTGCAAAGTATGAGACAAATGTGCTTGCAGCATCAAGCTGAGCAGAGGTCCACCTTCCGGCAGAATCACAACCCAAAAAGAGACACAGCGAAATGGCTTTGGAATGGGAAAACGTAGTCCATATGCTAGAATGGCCTCTTCAAAGTCCACTTAGATCAGTAGAATTAAACTGCAATGCTCTCCATCCAATCCGAGCTCCTTTGCAAAGAAGAACGAGCGAAGATGCCGGTGTCTAAAAGCCTGTAGAAATGCAACTCAAAAGAGCAAAAGAGGGAGCTTTATAGATTTTTTTTTTATATGTAAATAAACGACTAATTAAACCCTGTTTCTTTTTATTTTTCCACCTTCACACAACTTTGAGTCGGCCTATATACCCCATAAAATCCTTGTAAATAGGTTGAAGCTTGAAGTGGTGACGTGAGAAAACGCGATAAAGTGCGAGAAGTATGCGTGCTTCTGCGGCGCTGCATCTCTGAGTTATTGCTAGTCATTCTGCCGTCGCTGGGCAACAGCAGGGATCCCTGGAGGTTGGTTTCACTTTGAAAAACCAAGCAACGCAGAGTCTGGTCACATATATCTACCCAAGGACCAATTCGTCATCATAAAAGACGGACCTTACAAAAGGCGAGAAGCCTCGCGAAAGCCTGGCAACAATACAATAAGTACAGTTCACATTTAATTCATTCTTTTGTTTGTTTAAAAAAAAAAAAAAAAAAAAAAAACGAGAAATACTCACGAACTGCCCACTGAGAGTTTTCTGCTTTTCTGAGTCATGACAAAAGAAGACTTCCCAACTTCCACACAAAGTAGTCAGTCACCAATAACACGACAGTGCGATGATGTTCTCACTTCAGACTCATTAGCTCTCAGCGCCTGGCGGTCCAGTGTTTTCCTTTTCCTGGAAGTCGCTTGGAAATAAGCAGGTGACGGAAAGAGAAGACTGCCCACTTGTTCGAGGGATACAGGTGGGGAGGAAGCGCCGTTTCAAACGAGCCAATCAGAGGACGACTGCGGAGGTAAAAGCTGTGACGGTGGGCGTGGCCTGCATTCAGAGAAGGTATGTGGAGATGGCGGCGAACCTTCGCATGACAAGTCACGCACAAGCCTTTTAACCTGTTCGGCCTGCGCAGATAGGCATCAGAGTGATTGACGTCCCGCTTCCAAAGACAGTCCATGACTTAGCAGTTTTCTCAAATGCTTACACGAAAAGTTTCACATTCGTCAGTGAGGTAATCAAAGCTGATTATATTAAAAAAAGATCCAGCTGACTATAATTATTATTTTTTTTTTGTAATCAGATCTGTGTCGAATTTGTACCGTTTAATTTATTTTGTGTGTGTGTGTGTGTGTGTGTGTGTGTGTGTGTGTGTGTGTGGTTCCAGTTTTGTTTTTCTAGTTGTATTTTAGTTTAGAAACAAAATACTATTTCACTTTCACTCAATTGAGAGTGCAATAATTCCAGCAGCAGTTTCCTCTGCCAATTTGCACATCTGCACACATCTTGGTCCGTTCTTCTTTACAAAATACCTCAAGCTCAATCAACCTGCACGGAAAGCGTCTGTGAAAAACAGTCTTCCGCAAATGTTAGGAGTAAACTTGATTGATTTGAACTCTGATTGCTTCTGCATTTAGTTTCATCCAGTTTGTCATCTACTCTGCCTCTGTGTCGTTGCTGTAGAAACAAACAAACAAAAAAAAAAGCATTCATTATCATGCCAACACTCTGTTAGATGACAATTTCCCCGCTCATGTACAGTGTTGCACATGTAGTCCAGGCTTTTTCTGACCGAAGGTCTTTCTCCATTTTGTTTGCTTTCACCATTACATGTCTTGTGGCAAATTACCAAAATGCCATCTTCATTAGTTTTTCTTGTTTTAACACTATTTTATGATTTGATGTGGAGGGAACATCTCTAATAAACACAATGACCCACCTGAGTTGTGGATATATGTTCTTCAGACTTACCGTAGTCATATTTGGGTAGGTTTATAATTGTTTAGGTTTAATATTTTTTTTTCTTTTTTGCTTTTGAGTCACAAGCTTTGAACATTCCTGCTTTTAACGTGACGGAATGTGAAAAGGCTACAGAGCTAAAAATACTTTTGCTGCATAAACGGACAAAGATATGAATACGACAAAGACTAGCGAAAACCTCCGAGTCTTCCTGATGAAATGGTAATTGATTAGCTTTTTCAGGCTTAATGGTTGACCACTTGAGGTTATTTTTTTTCCAGCACAGCTGTAGTCTGAACCTCAGTTAAGTTCAGAACACAAGATTCTTCAAACAGGGCATAGATACTGCAGGCTAATATGAGGCTATCATTTTTTTTTTAATGTGACTCACATAAACTGTTGCTGTTGAAGATTTCAGTATAAATAACTTCATACAAAAGAAAGTGCAAAGCCATGGAGCCTGTCTTTTAGAGAGGAAGAGCAGCGTGATGAAGAATGTGCTGCGCTGTTTAGATAAGCATCACTGAAACGATGGCAGAGAAACACAGACGTTCCACATGATGGCGTCCACTGCAGACACAGCTACTATGCCAGGGGTCATCTGGCAGATTCTCTGATTCTTCTCAACAAAATGATTTAGAAATTACTTAGATTCAGAGATAAAAGAATAAAAAGAACGTGTGCAACATTGCAAAACCAAAGAAAGGGTTTATCAGTGATGATTTTTTTCAACCTTAAGCATTTAATTGCCCATAATTCAACACTGCGACCCAAGGCCTCCTCAGGTACTTTATCTCAACACGGAATTTCTTGTTCTTCTATTTTTTTCTCTTTGTTTTTTCAAGAAGAACAACCTTGAAACCTTCTGGCTTTCTGAAAGATCTCGATGAAGCGGCTCAACAGCAGAAAGCAGGAAATAAAAATACTGTTTCCACCCACAGTGTCTAGTCACACAAGGGTGTGTGTGAGCATATCCGATCTTTCCTCTGTATCTTGTGTGAAGTAAAAAAAAAACAACAAAAATGTGAAACACATGCAGAGCTCAGGTGAGTTCATTCTTAGGAACACCTCTGCTCGGATCAGACATGGGTGTGTCACGCTCATACAGATAAAAGATTACACTCCGTATCACCGATCAGCTGATCCAGATTCCTTTTATTTGCTCTGATTTGAGGTTCGAGGAAAAGCTCCGCCGTTCCTGTGGCTCCACTGCACCTGCTTGTTGTTTAATAATCCTCACATGTGAGTTTTACAGAAGAGTGCGTCAAATAATGGAGCTGAGTCAGGAAGGTGAAACTGAAAGTTTCACCTTCAACAAGTAAAAACAAGAGAACTAAAAGCCTCTTTTGGTTTAAGAGGGCATTTACTGTGCAAATCGCTGCAGCTTTCTGTTAATTTGTTTTCTTTTTTTTTTCTTCCCAATGATGTAACATGATTCTGATGAATAGTCCTTCAGGTTTTAAAGTTTCTCAATGTTTTCTTCCATTATATTGTCGAAACAAATAACGTGCTGTCAGTGTCAGAAACAAGGACTTGACATAACCATAAAAAAAGCAGCGTAACCTCTAAGAATGACCCGTGTGCCAAAATCAAGTATTTTTACGACTTACTATGTCATTTCTTTGAATTTAGCAAAAATAAAGATTTGCTAAAATGTTTCTTTTTTGGTGAAAACAGGACATTTCCTTCAGAGATCCTTCTGTGTTATGTGACTCAATAAGTACTGGAAAGACAGTTTCTGGTTCATCTTGGTCATGGTTGCACGGGGAGGGAGAAGTCTGATCCGGTGAGATCTCCAGAACTACTGTGCTGAGGAAACAGCTTTATTAGCAGATTAATTAATACACACTTTTAGTCTTTTTTAGGATTATAACCAGACCCAGATCAAGTTTAACCAGTAGAAACTAGTGAAATACACGTTTGTTTTTCTTTTTTTAAAATTGTGTGGATTGAGTAAGTATTTGTGAAGCACTGGACTTCAATATATATCTATGTAAAATCTACTGAATTTATGAAAAGCAATTTGGATTTTGTCATTTAAACATTTCACTTTTCCAGTACTTATGCAGACATGTTACATACTCAATTCAAATTCTCAACTTAATTAAAACAGAGAAACCCTAAATGATTCAAAACCTTCATATATGAAAATGTTCCACAATCTGATTAGATTTAAGTTCAAATGTTTCCCAGAAGCCACTGCAAAGACTCCAATTTTCTGTCCAAGTTGAAGGAAGTGATGCGATCTGTTCTCTGCTTCTGATGAAATACATATGAGATAAAAACATTGGTCTGATGAAAACGAAATAAGTGGAAAGACTATAAAAAAAAACCAAGACCATTCTAAAGATGAATCTAAAGCATAATAAACAATAAAATATAAAACAATAGTGTTAAAATGTTGTATTTCACTTTTGACTGATTTAAAAATATTTTTATTATTTCAGATATATTGGTTTGTGATCTTACTCTTCTACACTTTTGTCCAGTTTTTATGGGTTTCACTTTTTTTTCTCCGCTTTTATTATTTTGTTCTCCTTCTCTTTATGTTGCACACAGCAGACAGTGACTTGGTGACCTTTGTAAAAAGGCCTGCAAGCTTCCCGTCTGTGAATGGAGATATGAAAGTTTTATAAAACACATTAGACACATAAACTTATCGTATCAGTAACAAGGCATGGTTGCAGAAAGCTGTAAAAGTGTTAGATTTTAGCTGCTTTGAATGCTGAAGAATGCCGTTCGGAGAACAAACACAGGCTACTGCCAAAAAATTGAAAGCCGGTACTTCAAAATGAAATCGCAACATAATGGAACTCATTCACTTGTATAAATATAAACGACGAGTCAAAATTTAACAATGGAACAATTGAAGGCTATCCTTACAAACGGATATGTTGTTGTTTGTGCCATTTTAGATCATTTTAAGGAACAGTTTAAAAAGTAATAAAATAACATCTCAAAAATTTGATTTATATTCCTTTAAGACAGTCAAACGACTTGCAAAAAAAAAAAAAAAGAAAGAAATACACCCCAGCATATCGCTAGCATCTCTGAAGGGTTCATCTCTATGATCTACATTTCAGACATGCTAAAAATGTGCGGTTGTCAGCAGAACAAAGATTTAAATCAGTTCCTAGAGCGCATCTTGCTCTTTTTTTTTTTTTTTTTTACTTTTAGAACTGAATAAAACACACTGTTGTTTACCAAAACTATCTGAAAATATATATATTTTTTAATTTATTTATGTAGAGTTTTGAAACTGGAATCATTAATTTATTGTTTTCAGTGACAGAATCCATTTTTTGTATCGGCTGACGTTGGCGCCATCTAGTGGAGCAGGCATGAATCACAGAGAAACAACAGGAACGCCGTGTATCCAACCATCCCGCTTTTTTTTTTTTTTTTTTTAATACAAATTCAAGATACAATATCTACATCTATGGTTCGAAAGGAAAGAACAAGTACATAAGTGAGGGGTATGGCATCATCAGAGCTGGCCCTCCACACGTTCATTATATGTTTCGCGTGTGCCTGTTTATATATTTCTCTTGACACAATAATCATTAGAAATCGAGGGAGTAACATATTTCATATATGTTCAAACATTGCCAAGACTTCAGGACCACACATAGAGTTCATATGAGAAGAAGTTCAGATTCAGACAATAACCTCTGAGGCTGTGTGTGTGTGTGTGTGTGTAGCTAGACGATTCGTACCCACTCCCCGTCGAAAATACACCTGCTACTCTGTGCTTTCAAGCAAACTAAACACCAACAGCACATCAGGAGAATTTCACTCTGCTCTATATGTCGAACTTTTCCGATGCCCTTAAACGCATCGCTGCTGCAGCTACATACAGGAGGTCAAATCAGGCGAGGTGGAGAAGGTGGTAGGGTTTGGGGGGTCAAAGGGGCATCACTTGTAAACTTTAGATAGTTCTGTCTCTAATGTACATCTCTATAACTAATCAGACATCA